CTGATAAGGAATCCTAATAGGGGCCCTATCAGAAATATAACGCAATTTTCTGTTAATAACCTGACTAGGGTAAAAATCAGGCCCTTATCAGAGTCTTTCAGGGCACTAACAGAAATTGCAGTAATAAGCCCCTATTAGGATGGTAAAATCAGGTTCTGATAAGGAATCTTAATAGGGGCCCTATCAGAAATATAATACAATTTTCTGTTAACCTGACTGGAGCAAAGATCAGGTCCTTATAAAAAAATCTCTCAGACACCCTAACAGAAATTATGTTTATAGATGCTTGATAGGGTCCTTATCAGTCTTTCATATGTTAGAACCTGATTTTACATTAGAAATAATTAACTTGCAAAAACATTTTATTACACTCTGATTCAATGTTGTTTTTTATCTAGATGCAATCTGAAAGTATATTAATACCAGAATCCGAACAGATGGAGTTCTAAATATATAAATCAAAAATAATAATAATTGTCGGTAATTAGTGACAACTATTATATTCAATAATATCGCAGATTCTGCTTGATTTTTGCTGACTATTTGATAACAACATTGCGTTCGATAAATCTGTTCGGATTAAAGTACTTTCTAGATTATATCTAGATGAAGCAACATTATAAAATTTTCGATTAGAAATTGTCTAATAGATATTGGACACGTTGAACAGATAAAGCAGATCAGTGAGGATTCAATGATTCGTCAATATGATTGGTTTTTGCATTTAGTTTCTCGTTGGATCTAAGTGTTGGAATCAATAATAATAAAGATTTAATGAGCGCTTACTAATCCATTCTATCTGCTAAATGTGCCCATTTTATTTTACCGATTGAATAAAAAAACGTATTTTAAAATATCGAGCAACATAATATATTTATAATATATTTTAAGAAATTACGTACAGTATATTTTAAAGATTATAATGCATACTTTAAAGATAAGATAAGAAATAAACATACATAAAAGAAAACGATAAGATTTTAAGAGAATACATACATGAAAAATATATTTTTTTA